AAAAAACAACATTTTTTGGCCGATGAGAACCCTTAGAGTTTTTCATACCTTCATATTTCATTCTCCTCATTGCATTCCACATTAGTCTACCGTTCACTAGGTTTCTTGCTTCTCCAGTTTCGTTCATGACTTTCTTTGCTGTCAAGGCATAAAGTTTCAAGGCGTCAAAGAGGTAGAGATAACCGTAGATATTTGCCTGCAAGTAGGATACTATTCAAATTTATTCGCTCTTTTTATGAAAATTGGTCTTACGAGGTCTACGTCCGCTTCTGTTAGACCAGCAACCTTTATCCGATCCAAGAAAGGAGTAATTATCGAATTGTCGAAACTGTTCACGTCGTCTATCTGAAACGATTCCGTTTTGGTATTGTATGTATTTTTATGATGGGCGTGAGTAAAATTAAATGCTATAAACTGAAGCTTTCAAAAGAGGGCTTATAAATATGAACAGAATCAGAATTTCTCACAATTTTTAATAACGCCAATATACGTAGGTATGTTTTAGAAATTGATATTCTCCTAAAATCCCTTTTTTCTCAAAATGTTAACATTTGTTATTTTGATTTGGAAACTGCTACGTTTTCTACTTCGCTAGAGACAACCCATCAAAGCAATTTCATATTTTCATATAATTTGTTTTTTGTGAGTTTTTATATGGAGTATTGAGCCAGACGAACTTGCTCAAATAACTTACAATAATAGAATTGGCATATTGATCCTTGACTTTTTGCAATATCGCTCCATCGGATCCAATCCAAGGTGAAACATCTTTTGCTCCATCCTTAAACATAAGAAATATTTTTCAACAAATTTTACAAGTTTTTTGTTCGATCTGAGCTAGGATGTAAAAGTTAGCTATTTTTTGATCAAAATGTCCTAAATCCAGCAGACGAGATGATTCTTTACGAAGGCTATTTATTTTATTTGAAGTAGCAAAGTTTATAACAAACCTGTAACCATGGGAGAATGTAGGCAAACTCATTTACGCTCATTCCCTGGGAATTTGCAGCCGTCAAAAATTCTCTTGAAGATTCGCGAGTGTTCGAAAAAAGGCAGATGATGACTAAAAGCATAGATCAAAACAGTTTGTACGAATCTGCTTGCTGTTTCTTATAGTATTTTGAAAGTTTCCGCCATCTCATAATTTTGATGGGTTAAAATTAGCGTAGCGTAGAATAATACAGCGTAATGGACTTCATGCAAATTACTAAAAAATCTGTAAAAACTTCATACTTCGAGCAGAACTCTTGAGTTCATGAAGAAATCCTGAATTGACCATTGCTTTCGAATCAGCGAATTCGTCGAAGATTATCTATAAGCATGGATTAGAAATGTCTTTGCCGTTGTTGTGGCAACAAGAAAGCGCTCAAATTCTCATTTCCTCACACCTTTTTGATCACCGTGATATTTTTCGCATGGAAAACTGCCTCAAAGGCGACAACACGATCATAAGCCACAGTTCCCGTGTTGGTCACGATGGCCACCTGAAAGTCGAATCAAAGTTACAATCAAAACAGTGATTCTAAGAGCAGACTTCAGGCAAATTTGACAAGGGAAGCATGTTTAATCGAAGTGGGCTTTTTAGATGGGATGTATACATATTAAAGGGCATGATGCTGATTCCATATTTCCCATCTTATCTGCGGAACGTTCATGGACGAGAGGCCATGAGGTTCATTGGAGAGAAAAATCTACTGTGCGGGTAGGGTAACGAACTCAGCCAATTTGAGCCGCCTCCGTGGACTACTGAACCTGCAACGACATGGAACAACATTGCAAAATATTATTTATCCTACTGTTTTGATGGAGCGGTAATAATTATTAGAGCACTTTATTCAATGATTGCTCTAACCAGGGGAGGATCCAAAGTCAAAATTGCTTCTCCTACTGAATCATACACCACTTTGAAGAGCATCACACGTTGATTCCAAAACCGTCTTTGTTTTTTGTCAAGCGCATCTAGACGCTGGATTATGAGTGTTTTTTGGAGAGAAAAATGTTAGCAAGATTTAGGTTAAATCAATGGTTACGGTCTTTCCGGCGGTCGTACAAAGAATTCCATAGTACAAGTATATTAGACAAAAGGTTTTGCATGCATACAGCGCTCTGACGTTCAAAGCTGCACCATTTGCGCAATTTTGGACGAATTCGTTCTAGTTGCTAGTTCAATTTTTTCAGCCAAAAAACGCTCATAA